ATGCTAGGGAATGATTGATGCAGCCAATCATTGAGCGATGATGATAGGTGCGGTTCAGCTTCAACATTTTGTTGAGCCTCGTTTGATTGAGAGTCCTTTGCTTGAATTTCAGCACCTTGAATTTGGCTTCCTTGGCCACTTGTTCCTTGGCCACTAGGTGCTTCAGCACTAACTCCCTAACCACTGGATGCTTCAGCACCAACTTCCTGTCCCACGAGTTGTGCTGCATAGGGGGTGTTGCACGAACTCCGGATCTAGGAAAATAAAACATGAGTGGAAGAAATAGGAAGGCTGCCATAACCTAAATGGAAAAGCAAAGATTGCTACATGCAAATTCAGTGAGCAAAAAATAGGGGGTGTTAATACTCCATTGGCAAAGGAAAATACATAGGCGGGATGTAGCAAAATTACTTGGGTGTGTTTCCCGTAGAAAGGTTGGACAAGAGTGAGCTTGTTTTTGTCAACTTTATCCAACCAATTAAAATCCTTTTGACAAACAAAACGTATCCTCGGCACGAAATAATCAATGGCATGATCATTTGGGAGGCCGGCCGGGATATCAATATGATCCATGTATATGATCTGCATAGAAGGGAAAAGGACATTAGCCAACAAAAACATAAATGCAAGCTATAGAAATGTATAAAAGGTTTCATGCAGTAAAGAAAAAAGATGGAGCTATTTCATAATGTTGCGTTGCATACCGCTAACATGGGAAGGCATGAAGCAATCTGAAACTCTGCTGCTTTTTCTGTATTTGCTTGCATCCTCTTCTTGTCTTGAAAGACTCCAACCTCCTCCATCGCTCGTGCCAACAAGTGCTCATCCCAAGAGAATTCATGCACCAAAGACATATCTTCCAAGGAAGCTAGATACTCGAGATTCACCATATTGCCAGTGTTGGGCACAAAACTGTTGCCAACGCAAGGAGTGACCAAGTCCTATTTATCATAACCACGTCCTCATCGCTGCAACTAGTGAGCAACTTGACAACATGGGCGATTGGAGCTCTGTTCCCCTCCTTGTAGATGCTACAAAGATCATGTTCATCACTCTTCTTAAGCAGCTTCACGGGTCTATCACCGGATGGCACGTTGAAAATCCTTTTCACCATGAGCTTGCTGAATGTGATGGATTTATTCTTGTGTTTGAACTCAGAGAGTATGTGATTCGTGTTCATCACAACAAACTCAATGAGCTCATGGGGCACCTTGAAAGGCCGGATGTCCAACAAGTCTCCAAACAGTCCCTCCCTTATGATTCTCTGTTTTTCCGGTGTTACTTGCTTCCCAATCTCAGCCAGCCTTTTTGAGTTAAACCTTTACTTAAAACCACATAGATTGCCTTTCTTCTTATTCTTCTTCTTAGCCTTCTTACTCCCCTCATTCTCACCATCAGTGCCTGCAACATCTACAAAAAGAAAAAAAAACAAGTCAATAAAACCCTAAAACTGCATCATCAGTAGCTAGGAAAAAACATACATGAACACCTAAAAAATCTGTAAAACCTATGAAACATACAAGCACGCATAAAAAAATGTATAGAGTAAAACATTGCACTATGAAATTAGCATTTATTACAGTACGTCTGCTATAGAATAAAACCTAGGAGATTTTGCAGCACCAAGAGACCTATTTACAATTTTACATGGCAAACAAGGATGCCTCTATGCGGTGTGTGATTCCTTCAGGATCTCAAACAAGTTAATTTTCAGCGTCATTCCATTTAGCGCTGGAGCTTGAGATACACAAGTAAGAGTTCACAGGTTTCGTGTAACTTCTGCTGCTGCGAACACGCGTTCGGCGCAAGGCCGGTCATAACTCCGTCACTCCGTGTAAACTACTGGTAAATCTGCTGTATAAAATTCATGTTCAAAGATGAATTCATTTCTGTTCGTTCTAGTTTTAGCAATCAAATCTGAATGATCCTCGATTCAGAAGCAGGGGTATTGGGCTGTGGAATTCAAACTTGGTTCATCATACGCAACAAAAATGGTTCGGAATACATATTGATCTAGTACATTTGCTGGTAAACTCTAGTACTCCTACATGCTTGCAGATGATGATCTTAGACAAAGTGCACGTACATTTGCAAAAGTGCAAAATTGGTCTCAGCCGTATATACCACACAAAAACACAAACATAGCAGTGTGCATCCATCTTCACATGCAGTGACCTGAAGTTTACTTTGTTCTACTTTATCATCTAAAACAAATGTTCCTCAAAGTTTCCCCTCGGAAGCATTCAGTGACCATTTAAACACAACAATACCATTTCCCTGTATCCCATAGTTCGTGGATGAACAAAATCCCAAATCCTAATCCCAATCCCAATCCCATCCCAAATCCCTAGCCAATAGAAGATTCAAATCCACTACCCCGCCCCCTCCCTCTGCCCGCGGGAACACCACCCCGCCCCCTCCCTCGACCCGCGGGAACACCACCCCGTCCCCGTCCGCGCCGGCGCCGGCGCCGGCCCGTGGGAACACAAACGGCTCGCCCGTACCATAACCCGCCCTTACCCTAAAGCCAATGGGGGAGGGGGAGACAACAACGAAAGGGAGAGCACGAGGGGAGAGTTACCATCCGGGGGGCCATAGATCGCCGGAGAATCGAGATCCGCCCTGGGCCGCCGCCGCCGCTCCTGATCTCCAGGCGCCAACAAGCCCGTCGCCCGCCAGTCGCCCTGCCTCCTCGCACCAAAATGACACCCCGTGCGGTTGCAGCATAAACTGGGGAAGGGATAACCTGTGCGCATTTAAAAAAACATGGGTTTGGTAACACGTGGCGCAGACAACGTCCTTGGATCAAAAGAGATCCAACGCACGGAGCCCCGACCGGCGCCCCGGTCACAAACACTTCCCTTTTTTAACATCAGTACAGACACAAGCGCTCATATACACGCGCATACACTCATCCCTATGAACGGACACACGCATACCGTACCCCTATGAGCACCTCCGAAAGACTGAGCCGGCATATCATCTTGAAATTTATGAAGTCACTATAGGCACCTCATCATCGATGAGAACGTCTCCTCCCATTGAATGCGCATCGCCGGAAATCCTAAAATAAATCCAAAAATAAATGCGAGCAATAGGATTTGAACCCTGCTGGGCTGGGATATCACAGTCCCTCTAATCATTAGTATTGTTCAAATGTCTGCAAACAGAAACAATATCTTGGACAAAAGTGGCAGGTCATGTTATGGTGATTGATCATGCATTGGTTATAACCATCAATTAAGCAAGCACTTTTTTGCCAAAAAAGGATAGTGTTTCGCATTGTTCTAAATATCAGCCAGTTAATCGGTATCTTGGTCAGTTAATCGCTATTAGGCGGGTCACCGGATAGCTGATTAATTGATTTAGCGGCCGATTAATTGGAAAAATCACCTATTTATCCCTATTGTAATGCAAGAAACTTTCTACAATAGTATTTTTTGGACAAAATTAATGTTAGTTCTGCATTCCTTATGATCTCTTTTGGGATAGCTTGTACTTTATGCCCACACCTTGCTTTCTTCTGTTCAACTATGTTATATGTTGCACTTTGCACCATGTATGGTTCAACAAATGAGAAGTTTTAGTGAAGTATGCCCAACAGGATCACCCTGGCTACAACCAACGCAGTGAAGCGCGCGAAACACTTTTAGTTGTTGATGACCAACCAAGTAAATAATTTGCATTTGAGAGAGCCTAATTTTTCCAGGCCAACAAAGGCATATCCGTGTCAACAAGGCCAAGAAACTGTGTGTTATATGCCGCAGCCAGGATATTGAATCAGTCTCCTCGTGATTGAGTTGAACCTGCGACAATTATGCCTAAAGGTTGATGAACTCTGTTATGTGGTTGACCGTGAGGTTGCTAGTAATGTCTATTATGAAAATCCATAGTAGTTTTTTTTCTCTAGAATACAAACAAGCATGCATATCATATATTCATAGAAGAAGTAGCCAAGATGGTCGACACAACGCCTTTCGGCAAAGTGCTACACCAAAAGGTTAACACCACATCCACCAAGGCAACAACGACACACAACTCGCCTTGCTCAAACTCAAGCCAAACAATGGCGAAGAAGACAGACACAGAGTACGCAGGCCGCGTCCCAACCAAACCGAACACCTTAGAGCTCGACAAAAACGCCAAAGCAAACTAGATCAACGCACTCTCCACTCATGGCGGGGAGATCGGCAAGTGGAAATCCATGTTGTTGTGTAAGGCCTTCTGGACAGTTTTTTTTTTCTTGTAGGGTCCAGTCTTAGGTTCACCGTGACCAGAGCTACTTGATCTTCAGTCCTCGCCCCACGATCCAAGCTGTGGCCGTCGGCTCTCTGACTCGTGCACAGTCCCACACATTACCCGGCTCTCTGCATTCTGACACACTCCGCAGTACAACACCGTATCGATTTGCCCGGATTTGGTCTCGCCGGATCAGGATTCCGATATCATCGCCCGATGGCCGTAGGCCGCAGCATTGTCGACAATGTCGACCGCAGTGGAGCGCCGGAGTGCCCCGCCGGTCCCTCCCCGGATGCCGCCGCTTTGGCATCCCGTTCTCTTTCCCTTTTGGTCATGTCATGTCATCTGACAAGTCGTCGAGTGAAGTTAGCCAACCGTGCGCGCGCAAGTGCGCTCCTGCTTCGCTTTAGTTTGTGCCTCTACAGTTCACCGTACTGCATGGATAGAAAGCCGTTTTCAGAAGATACAGCAGAGGGAGCCGGAAAGCAAATTCACCAAGGAAACTAGTGCACTGAAAGTACATGCGTGTGAGTTATGGAGATTACGATCACTCGAACACTTGGAGATAAACCGCAGATTCTTCCAAGGAGAAGAGACAACGAGACCACTTACAACACTCTGAAACCGTCTCAACGTGACTGTGATTTCTGTGTGCGCCCAGTATTCAGCTCAAATTTGAACTGAATACCCGAGAGCACGCAGAATTTGTACCCAATCCAACCCAGGGCATTAAGGTTCTTGCTTGTCAACGGCGGCGTCGCTCAAGTCGCTGTGATCTTGTGACCGTATGCAGGGCGCGGGCTCGTCGCGACGGCGAGGTTGCGGCCGCTGCTCTGCTTTCGCCATTGCCAGGAGTCGGCCGGCGTGCTGGGCAGCGGCGGCACGGCGGGGCGGCGGCACAGCCCGAACGGCCACCCCTCGCAGTCCCGGAAGCCCTCCCACGTCGCCGGCGGGCCCATGTCCGTCAACGACGCCACGGTCGCCGCCCGGCTCGTGCTGCGCGTGAAGAAGCTCTTCACCGAGAAGAAGGCCTCGCTCTCGGCGTCGCCGTCGTCGCTGCCCGCCTCCGCCTCTCCCTTCTGCCCCCCTTCCACCACGACGAACTTCTCAGGGCTGGACACCTTCTCCAGAACGAGCGGGGTGAAAGACCACACGAAGGCGCTGGACAGAGTCGGCGAGCCCGCGCCGCACCGCGACTCCTTCCTCAGCTGCCGCCTCCTCATCTCGTTGAGTATCACCTGCAGCATCAACGCAAGGCATCTTACTCTGCCGTTACTTATGACCTCAAGTGAATCGAGCAAGAACATGACTGTAGCATGCTCTGCCGCCACCTGTTTCGTGTCGAGCATGTCGTCGTCGTCGTCGCTGTCGTCGTCGGAGCTCCACCGGGCGCCGGGGGTCCTGAGGCAGGGGACATGGCAGTGGGCGTAGGTCTCCCGGATGAGGCAGGAGAGGGACTTGCAGTGGTTAGCGGCCGGGAGCCTGGGGTGGTACTCGTGCGCCAAGCAAGGCATCGCTCCGGCTAACCGCGAGGGATCGGTCGATCTGGTCGAGTTGCCTGTGCAACGCTCATGCGATCGGCGATGGATGCTTGTATCAGTGTATGTATGTGTGTGATCTCTGCTGAGGATGGAGCGAGCTGTGCGTATAAATGGGGGGAGGATCTTGTCGCCGTGGCAGGCGAATGGGTTTTCAGCTGAGGGACGTGGACGCGCATGACAAGCGCCCCGCAACGTAAAAGGAGAGGAGGCTCTCGATTGCGCCGGAGCCCGTAGCTAGCGAGTTTAGGATCCTTTGGGTTCAAGGCTAAGTAAGAAATACTCGAGCTCGACAGTGTACTTGCAATTGACCGGGTTTTTAAATTTTATTTCAGTCATGCTAAACATGGACTTTAGTGTATCCGTGTACGATAATGAAGGACTGAAAGCGCCAAACAGAGCATCGACAACAGCTTGTTGTTTGATCCACAAGGTTTCTTGACCCGGGGTACCAACCAAACCGGTATGCATGTATGCTACGCTTTTGGGGTGGAACGTCGCCGTTGAGATAAACCGGCCGTCTTGACTGACCACACGCGCGTATGTATGTGAGTATGTGGGTTTTCAGTTGCCGCGGCGGCGTCAGATCATGCGTCGACCGGTGGAAGCGGCCAGCACTACTCCGCCTCCATCCTGCCCTCACCGGTGCAGGTGCAGTGCCGTCTTGAAGCAAACGCCAAGACCAACCTCGCACCCACTCGACTCGATGATGCCAAGTGTGCGTGGGCGCCGTGCCGACCAAAGGCCCAAGAACACGGAAGCCGAGAACATTCGCTCTAGCAAAGCTGCGCGATTGAGTTTGAAAATGACAGGGTTATGTGCTATTCTCCCCGGTTCCAAATTACTTGTCGTATGTATGGATGTATCTAAATATATTTTAATTCTAAATATATCCATTTCTATAACGAGTAATTTGGAACGGAGGAAGTAGCTTTGTATGCGCATGTTCCTGGTGCCGCGAACGCGAGCCACACAAGCTCTACGTCTGCCTCCGTCTCCTGTTGTGCAGTGCACACCAACTGCTCAATGAAATGTCCAGCTGAGGTAAAATGAGAAGGAAGAAGACGGTTGCCACCTAGGCGACAACCGGTCAAAACCATACTAAATCAACAGGAAAATCATTTTTGACGTGTAGGTGGCCTAAAACAATTCGGTTTGAGAAGCTAAGGGACTAAGAGCATCTTCAACAGCCGCGCGATATAAGCGTCGCGTTAAAAAAATACAGTTTTTTGCACGCATGCAGCCGCTCCGGGCAATCCATGGAGGCGCGAAAAACGCGTGCGCGTCATAAGTGGTTCAGCGCGCGGGACGAAATGGTATCGCGCGCCGCTTATTTCGTGCGCCCGCTCCCGCGCGCTGCACACTCGAGCGCCCGCGCCGCGACTTCCACCTACCCCTAATCCAGGCATTGGCGACGTCGCCCGCACCACCCCATTTGCTCCGGCGACCCGACGACGCTTCCCCGGCCTATCCCGCGCCGCCGCTGCTTCCTCCGTCTCCCTCTAGTCGTCGCCGCCTCTCGCGCGCGCCATTCCTCCGACGAACGGCACCCGGCCGCCCACTGCCGCTCGGTGCCCACAAGGTGTTCGACAAAACGCTTGCAAGGTATGTATTGCTTCAACTTCACATTTGTTTACATGAATTTGGTGCATGTTGTTTGTAGTTTTTATAGACTAGTTTAAATTCAACATTGTAGATGAGCTCGTCATATGATTCTTTTTTTTGCGGGGTAGTTCGTCATATGATTCTTCTGAAGAATAATTTGATATTGAAGAGGAGGAGGACCTTGCAATAATCCTAGCTATGCACATCAATAAAAAACCGAAGCACGGTGGTTCGGTTATGGGTCGGCAGAAAATTTGGAGGGATAAGATCGATGCCGACAACAAATTGATGAGGCACTATTTTGTGGATAATCATGTGTACCTCGAGTCGTACTTCCGGCGCCGGTTTAGGATGAGCACCGAGCTGTTCAGACGCATTGCAGAGAAACTGGCGAGCCATGATCGGTTTTTTCAGCAAAGGAGAAATGTCGCCGGAGAACTTGGGCATATCACCTTTAAGAAGGTGACAACCACTTTGGGTATGTTGGCATTGAAGGAAATATGCCCTAGAGGCAATAATAAAGTTATTATTTATTTCTTTATATCATGATAAATGTTTATTATTCATGCTAAATTGTATTAATCGGAAACATAATACATGTGTGAATACATAGACAAACAGAGTGTCACTATTATGCCTCTACTTGACTAGCTCGTTAATCAAAGATGGTTATGTTTCCTAACCATAGACATGAGTTGTCATTTGATTAACGGGATCACATCATTAGGAGAATGATATGATTGACTTGACCCATTCCATTAGCTTAGCACTTGATCGTTTAGTTTGTTGCTATTGCTTTCTTCATAACTTATACATGTTTCTATGACTATGAGATTATGCAACTCCCGTTTACCGGAGGAACACTTTGTGTGCTACCAAACATCACAATGTAACTAGGTGATTATAAAGGTGCTCTACAGGTGTCTCCAAAGGTACTTGTTGGGTTGGCGTATTTCGAGATTAGGATTTGTCACTCCGATTGTCGGAGAGGTATCTCTGGGCCCTCTCGGTAATACACATCACTTAAGCCTTGTAAGCAATGCAACTAAATGAGTTAGTTATGGAATGATGTATTATGGAACGAGTAAAGAGACTTGCCGGTAACAAGATTGAACTGGGTATTGAGATACCGACAATCGAATCTCGGGCAAGTAACATACCGATGACAAAGTGAACAACGTATGTTGTTATGCGGTCTGACCGATAAACATCTTCGTAGAATATGTAGGAGCCAATATGGGCATCCAGGTCCCGCTATTGGTTATTGACCAGAGAGGTGTCTCGGTCATGTCTACATAGTTCTCGAACCCGTAGGGTCCGCACGCTTAAACGTTCGTTGACGATATAGTACTATATGAGTTATGTATGTTGGTGACCAAATATTGTTCAGAGTCCGTGATGAGATCACGGACATGACGAGGAACTCCGGAATGATCCGGAGATAAAGTTTGATATATGTGATAATAGTGTTTGGTCACCGGAAGGGTTCCGCAATTCACCGGAAGGGGTTCCGGATGTTTCCCGAAATGTTTGGGTACGAGAACACTTTATTTGGGCCAAAGGGGAAAGCCCACAAGGTTTTTGAAACGCGCAAAAGGAAGTTTTGCGGAGTCCAGGGGCCACATGCCGGGAACCCTGGCGTCTGGCCCTGGAGTCCGAGAAGGACTCTTGCCTTTCGGGTGAAACCGACTTTGTGGAGGCTTTTACTCCAAGTTTCGACCCCGAGGCTCAACATATAAATAGAGGGGTAGGGCTAGCACCCAAGACACATCAAGAAACACCAAGCCGTGTGCCGGCAACCCTGTCCCCTCTAGTTTATCCTTCGTCCTAGTTTTCGTAGTGCTTAGACGAAGCCCTGCGGAGATTGTTCTTCACCAACACCGTCACCACGCCGTCGTGCTGCCGGAACTCTTCTACTACTTCGCCCCTCTTGCTGGATCGAGAAGGCGAGGACGTCACCGAGCCGAACGTGTGCAAAACTCGGAGGTGCCATGCTTTCGGTACTTGGATCGGTCAGATCGTGAAGACGCACGACTACATCAATCGCGTTGATATAACGCTTCCGCGAACGGTCTACGAGGGTACGTAGACAACACTCTCCCCTCTCGTTGCTATGCATCACCATGATCTTGCGTGTGCGTAGGAAATTTTAGAAATTACTACGTTCCCCAACAGGCATACGTTATTCCGGCTGATCCAGTTGATGACCACTTGGCCATGGCTGAGAGTCAAGCCATCATGTGTGTCAATTGCTTCGCGTCGAAATTGTGCAAGTGTTTGACCCGGAGTATTTGAGATCTTCCAATGTTGAAGACGCCGCAAGGCTTTTGGAGATGAACAAAGCTCGCGGGTTCCCAGGTATGCTTGGCTCAATAGATTGCATGCATTGGACTTGGAAGAACTTTCCTAAGGCATGGCATGGGCAATTTCACGGCCAAAAAAGGGTTCCACTATAATACTTGAAGCAGTGGCCGGTCAAGAGATTTGAATTTGGCATGATTTTTTTGACTAGATCTTTGAATGACATCAACGTTGTTAATCGGTCACCACTCATGAATAAGATTGCAAATGGTGAACTGCCATCGGTGTAGTCTGTAGCAAATGACCATAGATACAACTATGTCTATTATCTTGTGGATGGCATCTACCCAAAGTGGCAAACATTTGTGTAGCCGTTGAAAAAACCGGAAGGTAAGAAAAAACTAGATTTCCATAATGCTCAGACGGCGGCTAGGAAAGATGTGGAGAGAGTTTTTGGAATTTTGCAAGCCCATTTTGCTATTGTGAGAGGACCAGCTAGATTTTGCGATCAAAAGATGCTTTGATACATCATGTACGCTTGTATGATCATGCACAACATGATCATCAAGAATGAGCATGGTCAAGATTTAGACTACTCTCAGTATGAGCTCTTGGGACATCTCGTGCGAGTGCGACGGAGGGTTCCGAGGATGGCCTGATTTGTTGTCTCCTATCATGCCATTCAACGTGCCAAAATGCATGATGATCTTCAGAAGGATCTCAACGAGGAATGGTGGGCATGGAATGGCCGACAAAGAGCATGATGATTTGTTGTTTGATGTTGTATTGTTGAACTATTTGTTGTATTGGAAGATAAACTATTTGTTTGAGTTGTAATAAAATTGAACTATTTATTTGATTTTTTTGTGTTCGATCTTCTTGGTTTTGTTTGGAGTGCATATGTTGTTTGTGTTGGGCGTGCACGCCGTTTTTTGCGGCGCCTGTTGGAGCGACTCGCGCGCACTATATTTTGCAGCGGCCGCTGGAGCTAGCGCTCAGATGCACGTAAAAATTGGCTATTTCGACACTGTAAAGGCGTTTTCTGTGCGCCACGTGTTGTGTGCCTGTTG